ATGAATAATTTTGCTAAAAAATAAACAATAAAAAAAGAAATCTTTAAAAATATTAAAAGAAAAGACATTTTTATTGACATTGCTTTGGTTTTGATGATGATGTTGATGGTAGTTTTGGTCATGCTGGTGGTAATTATTGGTAGGGCATATTCACTATTTGTTTATTGTTATTTCTTGAGATCAACAGAATTGTTTCTCTTCTGAATAAAACAAAGAGCAAATTGGTGGCTACAGTTCTTTTTTGATTAACTGCTTTGATACAATCCTACAAATATATGTAAATATGCATATGGTCTCTCTCTTTCTCTCTCTTTGTCATCTCTTTTTTACTGGATATCTATCATCTCTTTCTCTTATCTCTCTCTCTCTCTCTCTCTCTCTCTCTCTCTCTCTCTCACACACATCTCTTTTACAATTGTATATGTTGCCATTTAATTCACTTTGTCATTGACTATGCTGATGAATTTTAAAATAATTTTATGAGAAAACCACTTTCTCCCCAAAGAAAATTTAACCAGGGCACTTGTCATTGCATGTGGTTGGTATGGGCTAATTTCCTTAGAGTTGTCTTCTTTGTCACATAATATTTTAGCTATGTATTTTAAAATCTTTGAATCTCTGCTGTATACTGCAATGTTTTCGAATCTTATTCTGAGAAAGCATGTACATTTCATCTCATACATATCATATCTAGTGCTTACATCTCTGTGTTCTTGAGACTGTCTCCACCTGATCTCTTTGCACCCCCCTTTGCTTATTGAATTATCTGCAGTGGTGTAGCTAGGGGGTGCAGAAGGGGCGGTCTGCCCCGAGCAGCAATTTTGGTTCTGGTGAGTTTTCAGAAAAGAAATAAATAATAGCATAATTTCAATAATTTTTGAAAATAATAAAAAAAAAAAAACACCTATAAGGGAGAAGATAGGTTACAAACTAAACCAATTTGTTTTTGATATGGCTGGCTCAAATCCAGCCAGCAATAAAAAAAATTGTCTCCAAAAAGCGCTGTCAGCTGGTGGGGATAAACCCCACTTACAAGATGTGAGCAAAAGGTATGGAAAACGTCTAAATATTTTTAAAGGGCTTGATGTGGGGTTGGATTAAGTGAATTTAGTGAATCCACAGTTTTTTCACAACTATTTGAGAAGTCCAGACTTTGGAGTCAGTTCTTTGATATTGTAAAAAGTTTTTAAAGTTTTTTCTGATTTAGAAAAAAAGAAGTAACGTCTTTCTTTTACATATCCCCAGTTTTATTTAAAAAAAAAAAAATAATTGTACTTTTATTTCATAATTTATCAGTGAGGAGTTATAAATGCCATGTTAACAGAAACAGGAAAAAAAAACTGGCATCTTACAGGTATTAGATTCTGAGAAATGGATAAAAATATTAAAATTGATTAGGTGTATGAATAATTTCATCATTAACTACATATATATATATATATATATATATATATATATATATATATAAATATATATATATTAAACTTTAAGAGGTTAATGTGCATTGTAATAATATTGTATTCTTTCTGGGTTGGGGTAGCAAACTTGAGGGCTGCCCCAGGTGGCAGGTGGCAAAAACATTAGCTATGCTACTGATTATCTGAACATATTGTGTTGTCATGAAAAAGTTCAATTTTTAAGTTAATTTCTAGTTTGGGATTCTTGTGCTGTAACTAATTTTTAACTCACGTGATAGATAGATAGATAGATAGATAGATAGATAGATAGATAGATAGATAGATAGATAGATAGATAGTCTGGCAGGTAGGGAGCCAGGCAGGCATAAATTGAAGGCTACGAAGAAGGAAAGGACAAAGTAAATAACTAGGCAACAAAGGAAGGCAGACTGCAAGGAAAATACTGTAGAAAAAGTGTTTTATTTTTAATTAAAGTCAATGAGAGTATATTAAACATTATCTGAAAATAGATATGAAAAGAATGAGATAGGTAGATTGATATAAGGAAAAGACAGATACATAGATGGATAGATATAATGAAAAGAGTGATAGATAAATAGATATAATGAAAAGAGAGATAGATATAATGAAATGCCAGATAGATAGATATAAGGTAAAGAGTGATAGATACATAGATAGATATAATGAAAAGAGAAAGAGATACATAGATATAAAAAAGACAGACATAATGAAAAGAAGTAGGTATGAAAAAATAAATATAATGAAAAGACAGATATAATGAAATGACAGATTAATGAAATGACATATAAATAAAAAGACATATAATTAAATGACAGATAGGTATAATGAAATGACAGACATAATGAAATGACAGATATAATGAAAAGATAGATATAATGAAATGATAGATATAATGAAATGACATAGGGATATAATGAAATGACAGATATAATGAAAAACATATAGATAGATATAATGAAATGACATAGAGATAAATATAATGAAATGACAGACAGAATGACAGATAGATAGATATAAGGAAAAGACAGACAAATATCAAAAGGTTGAGATAGATTGTTCATATCTATCTATCAATTTATCTATGATAAATACTAAGATGTAGAGATTGAAAAGTAAATATATTTAGACAAACATGGAATGAAGAGAAAAATTGATTGATAAATACAGTATACATATCTGCATAGATAGGCAGATGTTAAAAAAATTATTCCCAAGTTGTCTTTGACCTTTGAATAGACAATTGTTTACAAAAATTATCTTACTGCATTGATTCATGTTGTGAGTGTGTGTGTGTGTGTGTATATATATATATATATATATATATATATATATATATATATATATATATATATATATCAAACATCAGCTATGAATATGGCCACAGTGTGCTGATTGTGTTTGGAAAATAAAAACATTCCTATAACTCTAAATGTATACATAAAAAATAAAATCTATACATTTAGTTAAAAATAAAAATAAAATCATCTTTGATAATGGCTAAAAGAATAGCTGAAACCACTTAAACATACAGAACCTTTGGACAATTTCTAAATACTTTATGTCGAGAAAAGAAAAAATTGAAAGAATACAAGAAAAATTAAATAAAAAATTAACCTTAGCATCTTGTCAATCATTTGTAACAAAACTTGAATAAAAGAGGGATTGCTGCCCAAATACACAATTATATATATATATATTTTCTATATATGTATATAGCACATGTCTATCTGTCTATCTATCTAGCTAGCTATCACTTATTACTATAAACATTATTTTTAGTGGGTACACATATTTTAATTGGTATTTAATTTTTATTTTCTTACATGGTGAAATTAATTACAATTGGTCTAGATTGACATGTCGTAAAGAAAGATTATAATTCCATCAAGAATTGAACCTATATCCCCTTTTTCATGAAGAAAACTGCTTCTACAGCTGTTTATAGTAATAAGAAATAATATTGGATAAAAAAAAACAAATTCAAAACTTACTTTCTATTTATTCACACACACACACACATATGCACACACATATGCACACACATATGCACACACATATGCACACACATATATATATATGACAATGGAGCAAATCATTTGTGACTTACTTTTTGGCAATGATGCTGCCCTTGTTGCTTACATAAAGACAGCCATCTTGTTATGCAGAAGCTGACCAGCTCTTCAGACTTGAAGTCAGTTTGAAGAAGACTGAAGTACTTCATCAGCCTGCACCTCAGAAAGAATACAACCATCCACATAGTACCATCAGAAAGACTGAACTGAGGACAGTACACCAATTCAGCTACTTGAGATTTCATTAAATGTCAAGATTCATAGCAGACTGGCCAAAGCACAGAGTGCTTTTGGCATATTATATAAATGCATTTAGAACAACAAATGAAAAATAAGCACTAAAATTATATTGACCTTTTATATGGCTCTGAGGCTTAGGCTATGTATCGTCACCATCTTGACTCCTTGAATGCATTTATTGGTGATGTCTCCACAATATCCTTTTTGTGTCCAACATTGAAAATCTTGAACAGATGGAAGTTATTACTATTATTGCAGGAGTTTATTATTCATTTCCAGGATAAATGACCAACATCTGACCAAATAGTGTTGTATTGTGAATTCTCCACTGGACACACACATGCATGCACAAAATTTGCATATAAATATATATATATAGAGAGATTCAACCAGATCTTATAATTTTCATAAACTTCTTTAAAATTTCTAGAACAGGTTTTATTTTATGTTTTTTTACAAATTGTTTTTGTTTAGTTAAATCTCTTTTTGAATTTTTGAATGGTTTATGATAGGTAAATACACATATCTTCTAATGATAAGATTTTTAACAAACAATGCCTGAGTTTGAAGCTTTTTAAAACATTTAATCCCACTCTATGAACAAGAACAGTATTTACCTGAAAAGAACAAGTATATTGAACATATATATATATATATATATATATATATATATATATATATATATATGTTCATTTTCTCCATCAAATCATTCATTTCTGTAGTTCACTGCTACTAACAAGCAGAAATAATTTTTCTCCTGATGATGGCTATGTTGGCTGAAACTAGTTAAGGAATCTAACTGAAATAATAAAAACGAAAGAATATTAATATACATCCCAGTGTGTCAGAAGATTTTAATTATTTTAATATTTTTTAATGTTCAAAACATATATAATTACATAAATATCTATATATATTTTTTACAGCAAAAAACAAAAATTATTTCAACTTTTTTGGTGTAAAAAATACATTTGCTGGATTATAATAAATACATTGAGCTCTCTGTGGATCTATTTTAATAATTAATATTACTAGGATGCATCTGGATTATATGCCAATGGATTGATTATTTGTAGTAAATGACATGCCACATCAGAGACTGAAATATTAAAAACAAGAACCATGTGTCTAGATGAAATGTAATTTTGTTGAGTATATACATAAATATATATATATATATATATATATATATATATATATATATATATATATATATATGTATCTATCTATCTATCTATCTATCTATATAAATATACATATACATATATATATATACATATACATGTATATATATATATATATATATATATATATATATATATATATATATATACATACATATATATATATATATATATATTTATATATACATATACATACATACATATTTTAAGAAAATTTTATGTTTATACATAAAAATTATCTTAAAATAATTGTTCGACTTTATCTATTTTATAATACATACCTATATATATGTATATATATATATATATATATATATACACATATATATATATATATATATATATATATATATATATATATATATATATATATATATATATATATAACATTTATATATGTATATGTATATATGTATATATGTATATATGTATATATATATATATATATATATATTTATATATATGTATATTTATATAAATGGATATATATATATATATATATATATATATATATATATATATATATATATATAATATGAAGAAAAATATACTGAAAAAACAAACAAAAATCCTAATATGCGATTATGCTGTTTTAATGTTTTATGTCAACGTTGGGCGTTTCTGTCTAATAGACCATCTTCAGGACATATTCATAAAACATAATTAACATAGACCACATACAATTCAACATGAAAAAGATGATGGACATAAAAGCAATACCAATCCAAACAGATAACTGAAATCTTTTATAAGATCAGCATTCTGTTTAAATATGATCACGTCATCATCACGTGGGTGATGTTGTTTGTTTTTGTTTTTTTCCAGTATCTTTTTCTTCATACTGTTGGATCTATATCCATATATTTGCTTACATATATATATACAACAAACTTACATTTAAACTAAACGAACACATTACATTAAATTATATATATATATATATATATATATATATATATATATATATATATTTATATATATATATTTTATAATATCCATGTTTTGAGGGTAATTATATATAATATTGTCCAATGCTGGAAATAGAGTTTATGTAGATATAAATAATGTGCACAGTGAAATCAATGCTGCATAGTGACTGGGAGTATCATGCATACATATGTATATATATATATTGTTTAGTATGCTGAAAATTTAAAATAGTCCGAAGTGGTATCATGTAACAATTAAGGTGTGGGTGAGACTGCACCAAAAAGAATTATTCATTTTTTTAATACACAGATCAAACATTTCATACATACTTCAAATCTCATGTAGTAAAAGGTATTTTTCTTAATGTGTGTTGTTTATTTTATGTAATAATATCTTGTAGAGTTTTGAATCTTTCCTGGCTTTGAGTACTATATATTTTCATATTATCCACTAATATTTGTCTTATGTTGATAGCTGCATTCTGCTTGTTCATGATGTTCAGGCTTATGTGCATAAATTGCAGCTAATTTCAACAGATGACAGGTCAGTCTACAAGAGAATGTAATAGTGTTATTTTTATTGTTGATATTGGAGATGCAATCACCTAGAGCATGTAAGAATACATAAAGATTATTTTTACGTAGGGTGGATTTTTGAAGTCCAGAGTTATTGGTAATAATTAGATTTGATGTTTTGAACTTCTTTTTATAGTAAATGATAAACCTAAGTTGCTTGTTGTAATTGTTAGGTGATATGTACTGCCAAATTACACTTTTAATGGTTTTTCCATCCTACAACATCCGATGCATTAGAAAGACTCAAAACCCTAGAAGCTATTATTATACAAAATAAACAACAGACATTAAACAGAATATTTTTCTCCAGGGGAGACAATATCCTGAAGTGTGTATAAAAAATTCAATGTAATAAATTTGGGTATATATAATTATCAGTAATGACTAAGATATTCTTTGCATATATTTCTTGTTTTCATTTAGTTGACATATAGGAACACAGTAAAAGTTTGGAAAGTTATAAAATTTTCAGTATATATATATATATATATATATATATATATATATATATATATATTGAACAATAAAAAAATATTAAAAAATTAAAATCTTCAGACACACTGGGTTGTAGATTAATATTCTTTTGTTTTTATTATTATTATTTTGTTTAGATTCCTTGACTGGTTTCGGCCAACATGGCTATCATCAGGAGAATAAATATTTCTGCTTGCTGGTAGCAGTGAATTACAGAAATGAATGTCTTGATGGAGAAAATGAACTTTTGTCTGTAGTTTTAATTTGCTTTTTTTTAATCTTTTTAACATGAATCTTTTAACATTCCATATATATATAAATTGTATATTTGGGCAGCAATCCCTCTTTTATGCAAATTACATTGAAAACAACTGACAAGATGCTGTAGTTGAGTTTTTTATATAACTTCTCATTTGTTTGTATAATTTTTTTTTCAGGATATAAATTATATAAAAATAGTCCAAAGGTTCTCTTTCAGCTATACTTTTAGCCATTATCAAGGATCAATTTTATTTTACTTTTAAATGAATATATGCATTATTTTTTGTATGTATCTAGAGTTATAGGAATGTTTTATTTTCCAAAT